TCCTGCTAGGGTGTTTAGGGAGATTAGTTTATAAAAGTAGTATATATAAGATATTACCAAGAAACCCTCCTACAGAAAATATTTCATAACATTTAAACAACAAAGAGTTCTCTTTCTTCTGCCTTCTACCTCCTACCTTAAGAACATAATTTTATAAACTTCCTTAAAAACAGGTGTATATAGTGCTGTGCAAAACTTCAAGTTTCCTGTTTTCTCTAACTAGCTATCACTCTTAGTGAAGTTCTTAGAGCACTTGTACTTTTGGCATTGGATATCAGTGGAATTTAACTGCCAGAAATACATATAATTGTTTGGTAAATTTATAACCAAAGTTCCTATCCCTTCTCCTCCAATATCATTTTTGAGCATTTTGTCTCTGGCAGAGCTGGAGATGAGCTCAGGATGAGTAAAGAACTTGCATAGCCTGGAAAGAAAGGGTCTTCTTAAAATCTGTATCCTAGATTTCTCACTTACCTCACCCCTTATCCTGCCCTGATTTCCTGTGTTAGTTATCTGTTTCTGTGTAACAAATTATCCTAAATCTTAATGGTTTAAAACAACCAACATTTCTTACTACATAGGTTTTGTGGATCAGGAATCCAAATGCAGCTTAATTGGGTCCTTCATCTCAAGGTCTTTTATCAGACTGGGATCAATGTGTCAGCCAGGAACTGTAGTCACCTCAAGGCTTGACAAGGAGACAGTGTGCTCTCAGTCTCATTCACATGGTTGTTGGCAGGATTTGGTTCTTTAAAAAATTTTTTTTAATGTTTTATTTATTTCTAGGAGAGAGAGAGAGAGACAGCGTGAGCAGGGGAGGGTCAGAGAGAGAGGGAGTCACAGACCGAAAGAGGCTCCAGGCTCTGAGCTGGCAGTCAGCACAGAGCCCGACGCGGGGCCTGAACCCACGAACCGCAAGATCATGACCCAAACCAACTAAGCCACCCAGGCGCCCCGGCAGGATTTGGTTCTTAATGGGCTGATGATCTGAGGGCTTCAGTTCCTTGCTGTCTATCAGCAGAAGACCTCCCTTAGTTCTTTGTTATGTGAGGCTCTCCACACAGAAGCTTACAACATGATAGCTTTCCTCATCAGAGAGAGAGAGAGAGAGACCAATATATTAACAATGATATCTTACCACTTTTATCATGTTCTATTCATTAGAAGCAAGTCATGGGAGTCAGTATGCACTCAAAGGGAGGGGATTGCATAAGAATGTGAATATCAGGAATTGGGGATCATTAGGAATCATCTCAGAAGGCTCCTCACCAACTCTCTCTTATTCCTTTGAAAATCATGTCTTGTTCTTTTTTGTCTACTTCATTACTCCTTCTTCCCCTCTTCTTCCTATTCCTTCTCTTCTTCCTACCTTCCTTTCTCTTCTTCTCTTCTTCTATTATAGCATTTGTTATCATGCTTGGCAAAATGAAATACACTGGTGCTTATTGGTAAATGAATTGATTTAGAGTTTCATTATTTTGCTATTTTTTGAAAGATTTTTTTGTCTTTTTTAATTTATTTTTTCATCAGGGTAATTTATTTTTTCATCTTTAATCCCCATCCCCGTGCCCCCCCCCCATCTCCCCTCTGGTAACCATCTGTTTGTTCTCTGTAGTAAAGAATCTGTTTCTTGGTCTCTCTCTCTCTCTCTCTCTGTCTCTTTCCCTTTGATCATTTGCTTTGTTTCTTAAATTCCACATATGAGTGAAATCAGATGATATTTGTCTTTTTATGACAATATCACTGACTTATTTCACTTTGCATAATAATTCTCTAGCTCCATCCAAAGCATTGCAAATGGTGACATTTCATTCTCTTTATGGCTGAATACTATTCCATTGTGTGTGTGTGCGTGCGTGTGTGTGTGCGTGTGTGTGTGTGTGTGTGTGTGTGTGTGTACCACTTCTTTATCCATTCATCTGTCAGTGGACACTTGGGCTGCTTCTATAGCTTGGTTATTGTAAATAATGCTGCTATAGACATCGGGTGCAGGTATCCTTTGAATTAGTGTTTTTGATTGAATTAGTATATTTAATTTGAAAGATTTTTAAGTTATCTAATATGTTCTAAAAAGTAGGAAAGCAGACCCTAGCATCTGGGAGCTGACCTGGCATTACCAGATAGACTTTGGTAATACTAGGAGATGACCTGGGACTCAGATATAGCCCTCAATATTCTTCTGTTGAATGTAAACATTTCACAGTACATCATCACTGAAGGCCACTCAGCAACTCTAATGAAGCAAAACAAAAAAGACCGTTGTCCAAATGACCAAAATGATGGTTCATACCTCTATTCTGGCTGATTTTGAGTGACTTTATCACCAGTTGCAGCATCAGCATGCTTTGTTTTCTCATTTTCCAAGTAAGAGTTATGAAGATGCCTGATGGCAGAATTACCTAACTTCCTAAAGCATCCCATCCAGTACAAAGCCTTTCTTCCTTGAACCCTCTTTAAAATCACCTAAGCCAAGCCCAAGTCCTGCAATAAACTCTTTCTAACACACACTAATGGGGACATTCCATGGTTCTCCAGGTGCACTTTCACTCTCATGGTGATGGATCACAAAATTAACTTTCTTCAGCTACAGGTTGTCTGTAGCTATAGGGCATTGGTCATTACAATCATTCATCTTAAAAGTGATATGAGTCAACTATCATGAACTATTTGGGAGGGATGTGTTTGCTATTTATATAACAGCTTTTGTGTCTTTCATTACCTTTTTCAAAACTTGATTTATGAAAACAAAGATAGTCGTGTTCTATTTCACTGGCTATAAATTGCATGAAATTTCTGATGAAGGGTCATCTGGTTCCAAACAGCCATTAAGCCAATACTATATCCAGAGAGAGAAAAAAACTAGACTCATTCTATTTTGATTCTTACCCTTTCACTTATTCCTTTCCTCAAGTACAAAATACATAAAATTAAAAACAGTGCTGATTGGCTAGCAAAAACTGAAATATACCTTTCTAGGAAGTCAACACAATATAGTTCTACTACTGAAAGTTTGGCATATTTTCTCCAAAAGCACCCTGCCTATGGGATGACCCCTGAGTAAGCAAGAAATAGCCACATTGGAGTTTAATTTCCCCAGGCTTCAAGTCTATCCATTATAGGAAGTTTAGCATTTACATAGGCATGTTACCTCCTTTGTAGTTCCAGATTACAAAAGCTAAATGCTATTAAACTAAATTCCATACCTATAATTAAATTTTTCTGGGCTTTAGATCAGTCATATGTAAAGAAATAGAAGTGGCATAACAAAGTACTTACATTGATGCAAAGAAGTCAGTTTCTATTAATGGTGGATTGAATATAAATTAACCTCACTATCTTTAGGCATATGGATAATTAAAGAATATATAACAATGCCATTGTTTGAGAACACCTCTAATTTAGTCATTTAGGCATTAAATTGTTAGACATTTAAAAAAGATTATTGTTGAGTAATCAGCCAGAATAAAATAGGTGATTCTGGCTACTTGTCTTAGTAATATAGGTGAATTGGATCTATGACTCAATCATTTTATAGCTGCTCGGCCATTATAAATGTACTTTTTATTAAATTTATTCTAAATGCTAAAGTCTTCGATGGTAAATAGAATGAGCATATACCTTGTAACTACTGTTGGGAGCTGCACTGGCCTTGCTGGAGGACAGTCACAGCGAGGAAATGGTAGTGTTTGCACAGCTCTTGCCATGAGAAACGACAACTGGTATCTCCTTCTGCTACTACTGGCTCATGTTGGAAATGAGGCTGCTGGTATTGACCAGGCCTCACAATATTCCAGGTCAGACAGATATTCCCCACACAGATTGCTCGTAAGGAAAGACATGTCTCTGCCTTCCAAAGAGACTTTAGATGAAAACATTATGGATGATTGTTAAAAGGCTCTTCCTAAGGGCCTTGCAGATCCAACACTTACATAATAAAGGGGGCTTGAGTCTAGCCCTGAGACAAAGAGCCTAATTTAGAGTCAAGGGTAGATATCCACCCCCACCCAATTGTTTCTGTTAGGAGCACTGGTGGCCCCCCACCCCAAGACATTTGTTATGAAGTATTTGGAGTGACTTATTCTGGCCTTGAATATGCTGATTGCTCCCTGTGGAGGAACCTATTGAGGAACTTCTTTTGTGATTATGGGAGCAGAGGTGTCTCCTGAAAGACCTGTTTGACCCCTGCTCACAGAGAAGTAACCTCACCCTTTTGTGCTGAAAACATTGTCTGGTATGCTAAAGATACCTTCTTCCCCATAGGATAAGCATCTAAATCTTCTATCTTACTATTGATAAAGGTTATGCAGGAGTCTTCTACAAATCTATGTTCCGGGAAATTCTTACATATCAGAGAAGTTTGTTATCAGAAATCATTGTCTAAGGCAAATGCCACTTCTGTGCCATCCCCCAAAGACTTATAAAATAAAGTTGAGCCCCAGTCAGAGCGGAGATGCCTACCTGGTGACCAGACTCTCGGGCCTCTCTCACCCCTCCCTCGCCGACACTGTCCATCCTTCAGGGACCCCTGGACCCCGGCCAGAGCCAGTCTCTGACAAACTACTCCTTGTATTTTCTTTTTCTTTTTGAGTGAGAAGTGGATAAGAAGCAATAGAAAAATAAAATAGGGAAAAAGAAGAATAAGAGCAACATAAACCTTCAGTATACAATAACAAGCACCATTTCTGTACAGAGACAATAGTGATATTTTTTAAAGACCTGTAATTTATTAGGTAAGGGAGTGAGAGTTGCTTGCCTTTTGTTTTATTTTCTGTTTTTGCTTTTCAAAATCTGGACATGGCTTTATCTTCCTTGGACCATAGTATTAAAAGATTAAATCACCCTGTAAAACATTAATCAAAACGAGTGATCAAAAGTGTTGGCCATATTGTTTCAGGGCACATGGCAGCTGGCAGAGGACAAGGCAAATTAAATTTGTTTGCTACATTTTAAGAAGAATGCTTTCCAAAATGTTCTAATTGAAAGTAACCATGTTTCCACAGACCAGGATTTGAAAATAGAAGAGGAACAAAAGATCTCTAAAACATAAATCTGATACAGGTTGGTAAGTGATATCAGTTAAGAAAGAAGAGTGGATGTGATATCTTGAAAATCAGCAATAAGGTGGCTCTAGCAAGACAAATTTAATAAAAGTTGAAAAAAGTAAATGAAGAAAAAGGCACATAATTTAAGATGAATATAGGAGAGACACAGATGTCTCAGAATAGTTTCTAGAAATAGAAATCCTAGAATAACCCAAAGCCTATGAAAAAAGGTAAAGGCAAGAAAATGGTATTTTTTCCCTTTATGTTTGGATACATAAGAAAAGAAAGAGGCTGAGCCATTGCCCAGCACAAATAAGGTAACATGATGAATGACAAAATGGGAACCTTCTCAAATTTTGTTTTTATTATCTTCTCTATGTATGCTTAAACAGATAATCTTCAGACAAAAAGTTTAGAATGAACTTTGGAATAAGAGGAAAGATCCTGAAAATAAGCAGCAGGACCTCTTAGTATTCCTATAACTAGTGATAAATCCTAAAACAAGTCTTTGGCAATGTATTTCATCATTTCATGTGGTGCCTTATATTTAAAATATTTTTCCTAATAATTTAATGCTGGTAGTTTTATTATCCAAAGCAAAAATAGTTCTGTATTATAATCACATCCCGGGGCTAGTTGCATACATCTACTGTGATTATGTAATTTATCAATTTAAGGATATTCCCAGTCCATGATATTAGTTATTGTTTTTTTTTTTAAATCTGAAAAACTATTTGCTATTCTGACTTTTATTGTAACTGGTAATTATCCAGTCAATCTACTTCAGTCTTCATATAGATCAGTTGTATGAGACAGTATAATCCACATATACCTTCTCTTAAATAAATACAGTCCAAGTGGAACATCATGTTTGGGTTTTAATATATAATAATACTTTAGTAGACTGAATCAAGTTTACTTTTGTTATAGTTTTGGTTCCTGTGCATAAACTCATATTGAGATACTATGCATCAAAATATGTTTCATCCTTAACATTCCATGCAACAGAGATAAATGGTGATTCAGAGGTCCTGACACAGCTTCTTCTTTGAAAAAGCCTTGATTAGCAGTGAAGAGAGCAAGGGAATGAAAACAGGGCTGTAAGAAGCAAAGAGTGCTTGATTATCTACAATGATGACAGGTGGGTGGGAAAGGTGGGTAGCCTGAAGTGGGGAATGGGGAAAGACCATAACCAGGGTCATGAGAAAAGTGAAGAATGTTTGCAGAGTCTGCTGGTGAGCAAGGGTAGGGCAGACACCCACTGCAGGAGGTATTGTCAGAAAGGTAAAGAAAAGCCAACTAAGGATGTGAGGAAGGAGCCCAGTGGAAGTAGCCTCATGAAGTGGCTAACCTAAGTAGAGCTTGTGATAGAACTCCAGGCAAAGAATACATGGCTTCAAATCCAGCTCAGACAATCTTCTAAAAGATGGAGGAATATCATCTTTGGTGACACAGACATGAAATGTGGATGTATAATTTTCTGTAAATGAGGATGAGAGAATTCCAGGATGGTCATTATTAAAGCCACCTTGTGTTACTAGACATTGTCTTCCTCACTGTGGCCTTTCTGAGAGCAGGGTTTGGCAGTCTTCATCACTACATGACACAAAGGGTCCCTCATAGAATGGGTATCAAGTATGTATGGGATTGAATCTTTTTATTTTTTAAGTTTATTTATTTATTTTGGGAGGGGGGCAGAGGGAGAGAGACAGGGGAAGAGCGAGAATCCCAAGCAGGCTCCATGTCCAGCATGGATCCTGACATGGGGCTTAATCCCACAAACTGTGAGATCATGACCTGAGCTAAAATCAAGAGTCAGACATTCGACTGACTGAGCCACCAAAGCACCCAGGGATTGAATCTTAAATATAATTTGGCAAAAATAGAAAATTTTGGAAATACAGAATGTCTAAACAAGAAAAAGAAACTCACCCTTGAACCTTTCTATGCAGCGGTAAATTTAGTTAAATTTTACATTTTTCAACAGCTTGGGGAATTGCAGACAACAGTAAATACATTTCACTAAATATATTGTTAACATTAATAGCCATTTAGTCTTTTTATAAAACATGAATTTAATACAATGACTAAATATTAGATCATAAATTAATAACAGTAATAACAATAGCAGTATTATAAGTGGCAGTTGTGGTTGCAGAAGCAATAATAGTAGTAAAAGCACCAGTTGACAACAAATCCAAATATATTGCATGCTTATGGTATGCAACGCAAACTCCTAATGTACTATATATATTATCTTATTATAATCCTCTAAATGACACTATAATATGGGTACTATTTATCATCCACTTTTTAAGTGAGGGAACAGACTTTCAGAGGCCAACTAGTTTGTAGGCTTAGGTGTGTTGTTAAACGTATCAATGCTCGACCTTAGCCCAGACCTCCTGAGTTGGAATGTGTAGAGTAGGTTCTAGGATCTGTATAGTTAAGAAGCAACATGGATGACTCTAAAACTGCCCAGCTGGGAAAACACTTTGGCAAAGTCTTTACCATATTTACCCAAGATTTAAACCTGGTCTGATGACAAAGTCCTTGGCTACTGGACTGCATCTCAAAGTGTAGATCACCAGGATTTAACCAGTCGAATATTTTGGTATATTTAGACTGTTTCAATGTTTATTATAACTAGTGCTGAGATGAAAATTTTATATAATAGAATTTTTTTCTGATTATTGTTTAGGGTCAAATTCTGTAACTAAAAACATAATACTAATAAACATTACAATTTAGCTATTTTCCATAGTAATCAGAAGAAATATTAAGAAGTCACCATAGATTCTACTGATATCAGCAAACTTGAAAGTTACAGTGATGACAGAGAGAGAGATTTAGCTCAAATAAGAATTTGACAACAAAACAGTGTTAGGTGAGTTATATACATTTTATCATACTCTGAGTTCTCATGCTTAGAGTAATTTTCCCCCCATTTTATGAATGAAAACTCCTTCAGAACCTTTTAAGCTTTACATTTTTGTTGGGAGCCATTCTGAGCCCACTAGTTGAGAAAACTCCTGGTGAGGTTAAAGCAAGTTTGCACGGTCTCTTGCCAATCAGATGATGACCGATATCCACCCCCACTCAATTATTTCTGCTTGAGCACAGACCCCTAGGGTACCTTGTTGATCAATATCGGGAGTGACTTGTCCCCTTATTCTGGCCCTGGTATGATGATTGCACCTTGTGAAGGAACTTATTGTGGGAACAACTTCTTTTGATTATGGGAACAGACATCGTGTCTCCAGAAGGTCCTGTTTCCCTCCATACTTTCCCTTGAGATATGAACAGGCTAATGACCCCTAGTCATAAAAGACTGACCTTTACATGTATAATTCTGTTTCTACTGTTGCATTAGTCCAAGATGTTCATACAGCTCAACATGTAAATCAACTAACCAAAAATGTCTCTCATGCCCTAGCTATTCCAGAAATCATAAAAGTAGACACAAAGGTAAATGCACTCGTAGAGGCTATTCTACATATTGGGAAATAAGCTAAACTCTTTAAAGGTATGGTTGGCTCTCTGGTGCAATAAAGCATATAACTGGAAAATCAAGTCTTGCCCAGAGACAAAGAGCCTAACTTAGAGAGAAGGAACAGATAAGGGCAGAAGATAAGTTAGTACATACACCTTTGCTAACTGATGGTGTATAGCAGCCCCTTCCCTAAGGCCTACTTTCCACAAACACCTTCCCTTACCCTGGCCGCTGTGATGAGGATGGATAAGAGTATCTACAAACTTATGACTTAATCTTAGTGTTACTATAATGTGAACACCTTGTTATTTTCTTAGCTACTCAACCTCACTATAATTGGGGCAGTTCTGCAAGAAGACTTCTGTAAAACCTGTTTCTGTACATTTTCCAAAAACACCTTATCACAAAGAGCTATCCATTGTAAAAATTCCATTTCCTGATGCCATGTTAACATTTGACCTATAAATAAAGACACCAAAACCGACAGGACAGAGATGCCTGCCTGGTGATCAGAAAGGATCTCGGGGCTCTCTCACTCTCTTTCACCGACACTGTCCATCCTTCAGGGACCCCTGGACCTGTCGGAGCCGGCGTGGCCTCCGACACATTTTTTAAATCATACCATTTAAAACTGGCCAGTTTTAACATTAAAGACGAGGTGCACGAGAAAGCTAAGAGAATACATAGAAATAAAGTAGGTAGCTTTTTCTTTGTCTCTCTGAAAATAGAAATAGCAAAGGCAAAACGTCATGGGCCATATTAAGTCTCAGGGGGTATTTTTGAATAAGTAAAGCAGAGTCATCCTATAGAAGAGAGTAAAAACAGGAAATTATTTGTAAGGTATTTATGGTATAAAGTTTATAGTAAAAATTATCTTACAAAAATGTATGAAAATAAAATCTGGAAGAGGTAATAATGGCATTTCTCTCTACATTTATATTTTGTTTCTTTTTAAAACAAGTTATAAATTATTTTGGATACTTTCTTGGCTCTTATTATTTGCTGTCTATACTATAGAAGTTGAATTAAAACATACATTAAATTTTATCTACTTCCAATCTAGGGTACCATTCTCTTATATTCACTTCATAGAATATATTGTTTGTGTCTGTCCAGAATACTTCAAATGAAATTTCAACATAACAGTTTTGTCATACGTTTTGTTATAAACAATGACACAAATTTGCCTGACCTCTTATAATGCTCTCATAATTTTAGGCTATGATGTAGCTACACTATAAATTGATCTTTTCCTCAGAAAAATAAAACCCTATACCGAAATAGACATCCACTTCTTTCTTTATTTACTCTTGTATAAGTTAAAAAAATAATAATTTTGTAATTTAGAAATTATTTCCCAGGGAAATAGTTGGCTTTCATAAAACTGAAATTTTTAAATCTCATGATATAAATATCAAACCAGAAATTATCCAAGTTCAACAAATTTTGCAAATATTTATTGATCACCTATTGTGTGCCAGAAAATCTT